GTAGGATTTTTGTCTTAAAATTGCCCCCAAATGTCACTGTACACACACACACACACACACACACACACACACACACACACACACACACACAGTACTATAAATAAACACACACCTCTGTTGATCTCAGGAATGTCGTCTCTCAGTTCACCTTCATCTGCAACATCATCTAAAAAAATAGTCATTTTAGCAAAACTGTTGCCAACAAAGAGTCTATGAGTACTGTTAAATTATTTTTGCTGAAACTAACCCATAAATGTGGCAGCAGCTTGCACCTGTCACATAAGAGATGCTTCTTAATTTCAACACTTAGAAGAGTCGCTTTTGTTTTTCTGATATTTTAATGTTTCTTACCTTCAGAATGACAAAAACTCCAATCACAGCAGTGATTTTCCTTAAGATGCCTCCACATGCCATGTCAATATTTGGACAGAAACGAGTTAAATGGTAAATGAGTTAAATTGCACCTTTCTATCATAACAGGATACTCAAAGCACTTTACACTACAATCTATCTAATTTACCCATTCACACACACATTCATTCAGCACGCTAATAGAGCTCTATGAGTTACTGTCAGCAGTAAAAACAGGTTTAATAAAAAAAAAAACAGCTGAAGAGGAACTTTGATCAGGATTATAGTTTTTAATGAGTAACAGAGCTTACCTTGCTGTAACTCCTCAAACTGAGCCACTATACACTGTACAGCCAAACGTATTTGCTCACCCATCCAAATGATTGTGCACCAGTGCACAAAGCGAGGTTCATAAAGACATGGATGCAGAGTCTGGTGTGGATGAACTGGACTGGCCTGCACAGAGTCCTGACTTCAACCTGATAGAACAGCTTTGGGATGAATTAGAGCAGAGACTGAGAGCCAGGCCTTCTGTCCAACATCAGTATGTGACCTCACAAATGTGCTTCTGGAGGAATGGTCAAAAATCCCCATAAACACTCCAAAACCTTGTGGACGGCCTTCAGAAGAGTTGAAGCTGTTCTAGCTGCAGAGAGTGAACCAACGTCACATTGAACCCTATTTATTAGGAATGGGATGTCACTTAAGATCGAATGTGAGTCAAGGCAGGTGAGAGAATACTTTTGACAATACAGTGTAAGATGTTTTGATTTGTGTCAGTAATTACAGCTGTAAACTATAATGCATTTGGAATCAAACACTGTGATATAAAAGGACTGTGAAGTTTACAAACCAGATAATTTTGTTTTTAATTGGTTAAGACTTCTGAGGTTCGAGTGAAAGTGAGACCTCAATATCAATGGGGTTTTAAACCTGCTTAAATAAAAAAAAATGAATGAACGAATAAATTGAGAGGAGGTTTATTATGCAAAATCCCCTTTTTGGAGTTTTCTATCATGTTATAATGTCATTCCCTCATCAAAAACATTCCCAGAGTGTTGATTTGACTCATTCATGTTTGTGTTAGAAATCCTTGAATCTCCTGTGGTAGACATGTGGAGCTGCCGAAACGCTTGCTGGTACAAAGCACTACTTATTTGTACAAAGCTCCTCCCTGGAGCTCAGTCTGCAGCCGATCTCCCGGCACACAGAACACCCCTCACCAGAAGCATTGTTGTGAAGATGTGCTGAAGTGGGAGTATCAGAAATGGTAAGAGGTTCTTAAAGAGACACAGGTCAATTTCAAGGTATTTAGGTAGGTTATGATGCAAAGTTAAATTTATTTTTGATATAGCACAGCATTTTCTTAACAACTGAATATATCATGCCGTAGTTTCTTGACTGAATTATAGAACTGAACTATGTGCCTGGAAAATACATACCCSMCCTTTAAAGTAACAAGTGCATTTTCCTATTGCCTTTGCTTTTTGTCTTATTATTAACAGCAGATTCACATCAGCAATTATTCAGTGACCTATTTGCTTTGCCAGCATTTTGATGACCCCAACAAGGAAAACCATGTTCTTCTTGGTGTTTTTTTATATTATCTTTGTTACAGTGCAAAATAGAATGCTTAAACATAAAAACATTTGTGAAATTTATCTCATATTTAGGTAACTGTTTTTAAAGGTTAAATAATAAGACTGGATGTATCCAATTTAATCTTCAGATGGTAGCTCAAAGATGTACTGATGACAAAACAGGCTTACTGGTAAGCGAAGGAAGTGGAATACATGTGGGTCATACTTCCCAAATACTGGTTGCTGTGTACAAAACCAGCAGGAAGGACTTTACATAAGATACACAAAGCAACAAACGGCTCCATACAGACAACACAAAAATATTCATCGTCTGAGGTCTCAGAATCCTCAGCACTGGGTTTTAACACTTTCTTGGCAGGCTTTCTCTTCTTCCTCTTTTGCTTGCCTTTATTCTTTGCAAAGGAACTCTTCCTTACATTTTTGCTTCCTCTTCTCTGTTCTTCTTCCATCTTTGGATCGACGGTTTGGGGCTTCATCCTCTGGAATCAGGATGTTGCTTCAGTTGACCAGAGGTGTCAAAAGTATTCACATTCATTACTTAAGTAGAAGTATAGATACTAGGGTTTAAAAATACCTTTTTAGAAGTAGAAGTATCAACTCGAGCTTTTTACTCAAGTAAAAGTATAAAAGTATTGGTTTTAAAACCACAAAGTAAAAAAGTAAAAGTAATGAACACTATAAAAAAGGCTGTTAAAGATAAAATCTTAGACTGTGCCTCAGGGTTTATAGCCACCACCACCCCCCCACACACACACACAC